CGCCAAGACCTCTTGGCGTCGTCGAAGGTGGCACTCGTGGCGTCATCAAGATCGATGGTGGCCTCCTAGACAAAGCAACGTGAGCGCCAAGTGGGGGGTCAATGCGAAGTTTAAGGTCTCAAGCAATCGAACTTCTATCGCCCAATCCTACCTCTCTCCCCAGTTCCGTGTCAACGGTGACCAAGGCCCGATGACGAGCAAAACGCCCAATTGATCGTTGATAGCCCATGTGGGTGGAAGAGATGGAGCGCCAAGTAGGCTTCCGGTGCCCTCTACTGGCACAAAGAATCAGTTTGTGGAGGACCGAAGCTAAACGAATTGGAGGGTGGAAAAGGCGAAGCTCGCCGTGCTCGCTGTGGGAGAAGCACACGCTGACGCTGCGCAAAAGGCTTAAGACGGCCAACCCCGTCAACGGTCGCGACACGAGCAAGTCCACGCGACGGACAAATAGGAGACTTAGCGCGACGCCTTAACTCGAGTGACCAAACCCAGCCGAACTCTCCATGGCATCTAGCGGGCAAGACAAGGCAGGAAACATCCCATCGCTTTGGTTGGGCCACCGCTATGCGACACGGCCGGTAGGGCTCCAAGGCATAGATCGCATGTAGGTAGAACAAGGGACGGGTGAGCGCCACATCGAACAAGCAATGCGTACCACAACCTTGGCAAGGCCTAACGGCCGGTCATGCGAGCGCCGGCACGCACGTTAGATAGGACGTGCCATGGCCGGTAGGGGTGCCATCGCCCAAAGGCAAGGGTGCAGGCGCCAACCAACGCAGTCGCCGGTGGCCGCAGCCTCTGGTCAAGATGTGAGCCCGACACAAAGAATACCACGCTGCTGCGGTGACCGCGACTCAGGCCGAGTGGTAGCAAACTACGTCATGCACGTATTTTAAAGCTAAACAAAACCGCTAATTATCTCGCCTAAGGTTCAACCACTTATGCTAGTTTAAAGCCAACATCACTACGGGTGCCCTAACGAAACAATCGCTATGATCACAGAGCAAAGCTAGGGGAAAGATAAACGAGTGCCAAGGTAAGCTCGCCACGAAAATGCCGGTTCATTTAACAGAGTGCCAACGACATGGTTCATGCTGCTCCAATGTAGATCCGCAATTTTTACGAAGTTCCACGTGACAACCAACATGACTGTAACCTACACCATGCCTAAGTGGTCGCCTTGATGCAACTAACCTGTACATAAAAAATATGGATGTATTGATTAATCATTTTGTTGAATTTTAAATGCCAAAATGGCATTGTTTACGGTTCTTTTCCGATTTGGACTGAGTAAAGGCTTGGTTAGAACTAACAACCTTTAGCGTTTTTGCCGTAATTATTAAAGGGTCTAAACCTTGTTGGTTTCAACTGACAATCATACCATGAACCAGCCCATACTACATACTAACTCATAGGAACAAAATATTAAAGCACTATTTAAGTATGTTCCACTATATAATTTACCAAAGATAGCACTTTAAACTTAAATCGTTTGTTTACCGACTTAACCGTGAAGAGTGAATTTAATTTCAATTTGATTTCAAGAAGCTTCCCAAAAAATACTAGATGATATTATTATTCTCCAAAATTAATGTTACATTTCTATCTACATAATTTGCTCGCCAATTTTACTTAAGCACTATGCTCCAGTTACATTTTATTTTTGTTTATAAAAAATTGTCTTTCGCGCCAACGATTAAACTACTTATTCTACCTTTCCTTGCTAAGATTTTCATTAGCATGTTTAGGCATTAAGTAAACTAACTTATAATATTTCTTTTGATTTTTTCTCAATCGCAAAGGGAGTCATATAAATTTTTGTTTATCATCTCATGTTAATTTTAAATTTTAAACCAAATGTAACCTGCTTTGTCGGTATCTTTTAGGTCTTAATCCTGGTGCTAAGCAAGCTCGTAAACAAAAAAGTTTACAATTTTCTTCTTACCTTTTTCTCATTGCTAATCTTGGTCTCATCTCATTGCTTCTTACCCTTTTTTCAGTTAATTTTATTTAGTGCAGTAAGTTAAAATGGTTTGTATGTAAGTTGTTCTTCATCCAGAAAAAGTTTACAATTTTTTTGATCTTATTTTCATTTACAGTTTTTTGAATCGAATCCTGGTTTACCCGCCAAACGGTTCCATGAAGTAATTTCAATTCATCACAAAATAATTTTTGAGAGAATTTAAATCCGAAATATTTCTACGAAAAACCTAGAGCCCTACCAAACGCACCCAATTATTGAGAATCATCTTCAATAACACACCTGTAATGTTATGTACATGTACTCAAGCTTGGTTTATATTAGGAAGGTAGAGTCCTTAAACCGCATCGGGAAACCGATCATGAAACCAACTTGGGCTGTCAAAACCACCCCACGGTAGCGTACAAATACAAACCCAATAAAAGGCAATAACCAAACCCACACGAAAACCATTTTATTACCAAAAAAATCGCCCAACCCAATCAGAAAAACCTCGCCCCCATCACAGCCATCCGTGCCAGATCCAACGGTCACCACCTACCCACGGCACGCGCCCAACCTGCTCCCCACGTCCCACCTCACCAAAGATGCCCTGCTTTTCTTTTCCCCTGCATTATTATTTGATTTCCTCGCCTCGCCCTCCCTCTCTCTCTACCTCCGCTGCCGCCGCCCGCCTCCACCCCTGCCCTCCCTCCTCCACCCCACGCGCCTGCGCGTCGCCGATCGGGTCCCCGGCCGCGCGCTCCTCCGACCTTCCGCTGCAGTCGACTGAGGCCTCCCGCTCCTCCGCTCAGGCCGTACGCCGCGGGGTCGCGACTCCGCGTCAAGCAACGTAAGTGGCAGGTCAAAACCCTAGCCCTCTCTCTCCCAGTTGGATCTAGGGGCCGGTCAGGTCTTGATCCGCTCCCGGATCTCCGGCCCGATCTGCGCTACCTGTTTGCGTGTGGTTTCGGTTGTCTCGATCCGTCAGTTCGTCGGCGGCTCGGTGCGGGTGCTCGCTCGTGTCTTCGCTGTGCGTGATTAGTTCCCGCTTGGGTTGCTAGATCTGAGCAGTTTTGTGGTTAGAGTTGGACGGCCGGGCGATTTCTGCGCGTGTGGAGTTAGATTCGTCTGTGGAATAGTAATCGTGGCGTAGACGAAGAGAGTTGAGCTGTGTTAGGCGTTGATGAATCTGATGCGCACTCACTTTGTATAGTTGGTTGTCTCTAGTGAATCCGTCGCATGAACTGCAACGTTCTATTCCTAGCACTCACTTTGTGTAGTTGATAGTTTCTAGTGAATCTATCTATCGCATGAACTTCCACGTGCTATTCCCTAGCACTCGCTTTGTATAGTTGGTTGTTTCCTAGCACACTCGTTCGGTTACTTGTGGTAGCGCCACCTGCTAAATTCTGAAAAGGGAGCAATTATGTCGTATATAGTACCGCCCATATTGACTGTAATCTTGGTATAGTTTCTGTTAAGCAGTAATTAGCACTCACTTTGTATAGTTGGTTGTTTATAGTGAATCTGTCGCATGAACTTCCACATGCTATTTCTACAGTTTTCGATTTGCAGTTCCTGTGTATAGCTTAGCTCCTTCCGAGTAGCCTTGTTCAAGTTACCAAGTACTCTTGTTCCGTTATTTGTAGAAAAGCCACCTGCTAAATTCTGAAAAGGAGCAATTATGTCGTATATAGTACCTACCATATTGATTGTAGTCTTGGTATAGTTTCTGTTAAGCAGTAATTTCTACAGCTGGCCAATTTTACTGCAACGATTTAGTTTTGTAAGGCTACACACGTTAGCTTACTTGCTTGGAGAACTCTAGCGTTGTATTCTAGCACTCACTTTGTATAATTGATTGTTTCTAGTGAATCTGTCACATGAACTTCCACGTGCTATTCCTACTGCTTTGGTTGCAGTTCCTGTGTATAACTTAGCTCCTTCACAGTACTCTTGTTCGGTTTCAGAGTACTCCTGTTCGGTTACTTGTGGTAGTGCCACCTGCTAAATTCTGAAAAGGGAGCAATTATGTCCTATAGTACCTCCCATATTGATTGTAGTATCGGTATAGTGTCTGTTAAGTAGTAATTTCTACAGCTGGCCAATTTACTGCAACCATTTAGTTTTTAAGGCCACATACGCTTGCTTGCTTGCTTGGAGAACTCTAGCTTCGTTGGTTTATAGTTTGCAGTGTTAGATTGTAGGCCACAAAACACAGTCTAGCAATCTGAATGTCAGTTCTTGTTTATTGGGGCGAGCTGAATAAGATTCCTGCCAAAGAGTATTAGGTTCTGAACTTGTTATACTGCTAATTTGTCTATGATCACTCGTGTGGCAATAAGGGGTTATATGTGCACCGATGACTAGTACTGGATCATTGTTGTTCATATGGCATCTTGATTCCTTTACTGGACTAGTATAAGAATCTATCGTGCTTTCCTGACATGATATTCTTTCTCCAATTTGTGTGGGTATGCTTACTAATGAATTACCATATTTCGTGGCTACAACAATACAGAGCATGCTAATTTTGTTCCTCTGCTTTTACTGTTTAGCATTGATATGCCTAGCAATAATGACTCTGTATATTTGTCTAACTTTACATGATATAACAATTTGGTGCAATATGTCTTGTTTGGCTTTACATGGAGCAGTTTGGTGTTTGTTGGGCTTTACAAGCAGAGCACTTTTGTTGTTGTCTAATTTATATTGGATACCCTTTGCTGATGCATATGGTTTTGTGCCACAAATTTATTCTGATTCCTCCCTGTTTTGGCATTCACAGAGTCAATATGTCACCGACGTTACTCAAGTTCTCTTAAGTGCGCAATCTGCTGATGGCGCAATTAGGAAACATGCTGAAGAAAGCCTCAAGCAATTCCAGGAGCAGAACCTCCTGGATTCTTGCTCTCCCTTTCAAGCGAGTTGGCCAATGAAGAGAAACCTGAGGAGAGCCAAAGAGGTTAGCTGGCTTGATTCTTAAGAATGCACTGGATGCAAAGGAGCAGCACAGGAAGAATGAGCTTTTCCAGAGATGGCTGGCACTGATGCTGGTGCCAAGGCACAAATTAAAGGATTGTTGCTGCAAACTCTCACATCTCCTGTTGCAAGTGCCAGGTCCACTGCTTCCCAAGTTATTGCCAAGGTTGTTGGTATTGAGATTCCATAGAAGCAATGGCCAGAGCTTATAGGATCATTGCTCGTAAATATACATCAGGTCCAGCCAAATGTCAAGCAAGCAACTCTTGAAACACTTTGGCTATTTATGTGAGGAAGTTTCTCCAGATGCTGCTGACCAAGACCAAGTCAATAAAATACTTACAGCTGTTGTTCAGGGTATGAATGCTTCTGAGGCAAACTCTGATGTGAGGCTTGCAGCTACACGGGCATTGTATAATGCTTTGGGCTTTGCTCAGGTTAACTTCTCGAATGACATGGAGCGTGACTATATCATGAGAGTAGTTTGTGAAGCGACTCAGTCTCCAGAGGTGAAGATAAGGCAGGCTGCCTTTGAGTGTTTGGTGGCTATATCGTCTACTTATTATGATAAGTTGGCAACATACATGCAGGATATATTTAATATAACTGCAAAAGCTGTGAGGGGAGATGAGGAGTCAGTTGCACTCCAGGCTATTGAGTTCTGGAGTTCCATTTGTGATGAGGAAATTGACATTCTGGATGAGTATTGCAGTGAATTTACAGCTGATTCTGATGTTCCATGCTACTACTTTATCAAGCAGGCTCTTCCTGCCTTGGTGCCGATGTTGTTGGAAACTCTCCTCAAGCAAGAGGAAGACCAAGATTTGGATGAAGGTGCTTGGAATCTTGCAAATGGCTGGGGAACTTGTTTGGGCCTGGTGGCAAGGACTGTTGGTGATGACATTGTTCCTCTTGTAATGCCTTTTGTGGAGGAGAACATAACCAAGTCTGAGTGGAGACAGAGAGAGGCTGCAACATATGCCTTTGGATCTATCTTGGAGGGCCCATCAGCTGATAAACTGGCTCCTCTTGTTAATGTTGCGTTGGGCTTCATGCTGTCGGCGCTGATGAAGGATCCCAGTAACCATGTAAAGGACACAACTGCTTGGACACTTGGAGAATCTTTGAGTTCCTTCATGGTTCAGCACTTGAAACTCCTCCTATCATCACGGCCGAGAATTGTCAGCAATACTTTACTGTGCTGCTTCACAGCATGAAGGATGTCCCAAATGTGGCTGAAAAGGCATGTGGGGCCCTCTATTTCCTTGCACAAGGCTATGTGGATGCTGGATCTGCATCACCATTATCCCCTTTCTTTCAAGATATTGTTCAGAACCTTCTTATGGTCACTCACAGGGAGGATGCTGGAGAATCTCGGCTGCTAACAGCAGCATATGAGACCCTAAATGAAGTTGTCAGGTGCTCCACTGAGGTGACGGCCCCTATTGTTATGCAGTTAGTACCTGTGATCATGGTGGAGCTCCATCAGACACTTGAAACCGAAAAGCTGTCAACTGATGAGAGGGAGAAGAGGAGCGAACTGCAGGGCCTCCTTTGTGGTTGCTTGCAGGTCATTATCCAAAAGTTGGGAGGATGGAGTCAACTAAGTACTCTTTCTTGCAGTATGCTGATCAGATGATGGATCTGTTTTGAGAGTTTTTGCATGTGAAATGCCACAGTGCACGAGGAGGCTATGCTTTGCTATTGGCATTGGCATATGCAGCTGGTCCAAACTTTGCAAAAGTACATGGCACAGTTTTATCAGTATTTGGAGATGGGACTTCAGAACTTTGAGGAGTATCAGGTGTGTGCCATTACCGTAGGCGTTGTTGGTGATCTCTGCAGAGCACTGGAAGACAAAATTTACCCTTCTGTGATGGCATCATGACCCAGCTTCTGAAGGACCTGTCCAGTAACCAGCTGCACAGATCTGTGAAGCCACCCGATATTTTCGTGCTTTGGTGATATTGCACTGGCAATTGGGGAGAACTTCGAGAAGTATTTGATCTATATGATGCCTATGCTGCAAAGTGCTGCTGATTTGTCGGCCCATACCACCGAATAACTGATGATGAGATGCTCGACTCACACCAACCAGCTAAGGAATGGAATCTTGGAAGCCTACTCTGGTATCCTGCAAGGATTTAAGAGTTCACCCAAGACACAACTACTGATGCCATATGCTCCACATATTATTCAGTTCCTTGATGCTCTGTACAATGGAAAGGATATGTACGTCAAAACTTCACACTCTGATTCTTTACCTTTGCTGCCTAACTTATACGAGTCATCTGTTTTTGTTGATCTAATGCTTTATGATGTTATACCTCTTTTGCAGGGATGATACTGTGATGAAGACTGCAATAGGTGTCTTGGGAGATCTGGCCGACACATTGGGTGTCCATGCTGGCCTGTTGATCAATCAATCCACCTCAAGCCTGGCATTTTTAGAGGAATGCTTGGCATCAGATGATCCTTTGGTGAAAGAATCTGCCGAGTGGGCGAGGATTGCAATCAGCCGTGCAGTTTCGGGTTGATGCCACATTGAGTCTCGAGTCTGCACTTGCATCCATCCCATGTCATCTTGTCTGGGTCGTTGATTGCATCATGTCCAGACCTGCTCTTCGGAGAAGTCCAACATCTTTACAGCAGAGTCGGAGGGTCCTCACTAACTCATGCATCCAGTACATGTGTCAACCCGTGCTTCCGCTTCTGCGTAGAGAAAAGAGGGTTCAAGGTTGGCCGCCTGCTAACTTTTGCTAAAGGCATCTGCAACCTTCATTTCTTATTGGAGGTGAGATGAGCTTCTATTGTTGCATGACATGCTGTCAGTTTCCTCGGCATGGCATGCCTAAGAACTGTGGCCTATCATTCCCCCCCCTGCATTCATCCCATGCATCGAACTCTGGTCGGATGGTCACTTGGGACAAAAGGCCCAGTTGCTTGCTGCTGCTCCAGTAAGCAAGAACGGGCTTGAACGCATTGTCACAGGATTATTTTTGTATCGATCAGGGGTGGCCAAGTCCATTTATGTCAGACATACCCCTCCCTGCTGGTAGTAGGCTGTTAATTTCCCTAGCATTCTTTTCCTTTATCCACTTGCATTGTCTTTGCATTTGATTCATGGTCGGTATGTTTTGTAAGAGTTGTTTTGGGGCAAAACTTGTGTCCTGTCCGGTCTGCTACCGCGCGCTATTTGTACAAGTCAAGTCTGTGCGTGCATTGGTTTATTTCTGGGTGTTATCGTAGCAGCGGGTGTTTGTCCTTTTCACACCTGTCTTTGGTAATCTACATACGTGCTGCTCAATTTCGGTTTATCAGGAGCTGGGCGGGTGAAGAAACAAAGAGTTATGTAGGTCTTTGAAGTGGTTTTGCAGGGGTTGGCAGAGGCAAATTGAGTTGGGTGTGGTTTATGAATTGTACTATGGTGTGGAGATCTGCTTCCTGCTACCAACATATCATATCATTTGTTGAGCATATGAGAATACCATGGTGAAATGTGATTGGTCTTTTCGTTTTACGCTCTCAGCTTGCTAACCTCAGTGCAGACTGCAGATTTGAGCATAAGCACAAGCTGTACGTGAAGAGTGAGCTCTTTCTTTCTCAACTTCATCTAAACGTGGAATCGAATCAAGCAAACTTGTGAACACACCTTCAGTTCAGCAAAGTGTAAAGAAGCAATCTTGTTCTCTTGCTTTTACTTTTGTCCATGTCCTCACTCATCAAGTTGTCTGCTGCTATGCGCCTCTTCTTTTCCCCTTTTGATTAAATAAAACGATTGCCGATCCTAGCTCTTGTAGGAGTATATTGAAAACCATAGCCGTTAATCTACTAGTACTAGCATTAAAGGTCTTTTTCTCCAATTTGACCCTTCTCATGGACGTCATCACATCACTAAGCTCGCCTATAAAAAGCCAGGCAGACCTGTCTGATGTTTTGCCATTGTGTCACAAACTCACGCCTAACAACACGATCAGCTATAGCGAGCTCACAGCTCTGTCAAGGACTGAAGGTGAAGGCCATGGCCAGAACCCTGGTCCTCGTCGCTGTTCTCCTCGCCGCCAGCGCCGGCGCCACGACGGGCGGCGACCACGCTGACCATCCACAACCTCTGCCCGCACCCGGTGTGGCCGCTGGTGACCCGAACTCAGGCCTCCCTTCCATCTCCGACAACACTGCGCGCCTCGACCCCAATGCGCTGCTCTCCCTCACCTTCCCGCCCACCTTCTGGGCCGGCTGCGTCGCGGCGCGCACGGGCTGCGACGCCACCGCGTCGGGATGCTGGACGGGCTCCGCGCCGCCCGCCACCATCGTGCAGGTCACCGTCCACGACGGCGGGAGCCTGGACCAGGCCACCTGGCAGCGTGAGCCTCGTCGACGGCTTCAACGTGCCTGTGGTGGTCAGCCCGCAGGCGATCGCCGGCGGGGGGCAGTGCCCGGCGCTGGGTTGCCCCTGTCGACCTCAACTGCGACTGCCCTCCTCCGCAGCGCGCCGCCGAGGGTGTGGCGTGCCGTGGCCCACCGGAGTACTTCAAGAACCGGTGCCCGCTCACCCGGACCACGCCCACCGACGTCGAGCCCGTCCCGCAGAGCTGCCGCGCCCCGGGGAGCTCCGGGTCGTCTTCTGTCAGGCGACCATTGTCACGGGCGACGCCGCCGCCGCCGCTGCCGCCGCAGAAGGCGAGATGGTCATCCGCTCTGTCGTCGCCGACAGCTAGACTGATCGATCGAGCCGTCCAGAGCTCCATTAGCCTCCTCGCTTCGTTGAATCGTAGTCGCATGATTTCTTTTGCTACATGTGTTTGTGTTTAGTAGGGCGTTTAGCATTGGCGCGTGTACTCCGGTGGTTTTCGGAAATCAGCACTGAAGCAAAATAATAATGCCAGTTCTAAACCTCAATCTCAAATCTATATGTTGTCTTTACCCAATTTCGGATACTTAGAGAAACTCACATCATGCTCGCATCGTGTTTTTGCTACACCACATGGTCCATCAGCACCACAAATTCTAGTGATATTTTGATGTCCTATAATAATTCATAAAAGAAAGGTTGACTATCGTATCGAAGTTTTCTTGTGATACTTTGATGTCCTATAAAATAACATTTTAGCTTATCGACGTTTTTTGTTGGTGATATGACCATTGGAGATGCATGGAAACAAATTTATGTGTTTAAATGGCCAATTTATGTGCTTATGGACAAACTCGCTTGCATCGTTGATAAAAAAATAAGCTACATAGAATTGGTCTATTTGTGATCTAATAGATAAATCCTCTTGCAGATGACAAAGTTCCTGGATCCCAAACCCAGTTGTCATGATAAACCTCGGCTGGGCAAAGTTCAGATTTATAAACCGTCATTATTCAAAATCCACAAGGCACGCGTGAGGCATCTGAATGTGATTGAGGACGATAAAAAGCTTACAGCCGTACCGTAGTAGCTTTTGGCATATATACCTTGCTTCTACCGAGAAAAAGCGTTAAAGCGAAAGTTGCGGATATCAAAGGCCTGATCCTGATGTCGGATCATAATTGTCTTATCAACTTTTGACAAAGCTGAGTTGTGTCAAAGACCAAAGACTATATGATAGTATGATCATGATATATGAAGATTCATCTTTTTTTTACCCTCGAGAATATGCTGCGGATCTGATTAATCTTCCGAAAACTCCAGATGGTTTTGCGCATCAACAATTTTGTTCACAATTGCTAGATATCAATATGCCAAAACTACTTAGGGGCTGCTTGGTACCCGTCGAGGCCTTTGCCTCACCTTGCTTGTTGCGCTCGGGTTGTGATAATCATGTTGCATCGAGTTTAAGTTTTTACGGTCTATTCACTCCGTAGCCTGATCCTTTCCCAAACCCATGGGCTGATCAGGTTTCCCTTGGCAGCTCAGGAATCGAGATCTAGAACTTTTTCTAGGCTTGATGTTTATAGGTTGGGCTGGTGCGTGTTGATGAGGATGCGTGACATGTCGCTAGTCCGGAGCAAAAAGGAACCTCTAGTGAATCCACGCCAAGTCCTCCCCATGTCACGAGCACCATTGGCAGCCCGGTCCACTTGACGAGCACTTGTTGAACAGACGTATATCACCCACGAGCAGAGACACGCTTCTCCAAGAATCTGGAGTATATAGAATCAATGTCAAGAAGAGAAGGGGAGACCTGACGTGGTACACAGGGGTGTATCACTGAGCCGTCCTGGAAGTTCGATTTACAGGCGACAACTCCAACTCTGGGATTACATTGAAGGGACCAAAGTACTATCTCTGTCCGTAAAAGAATAAAATCATAGGTGCATTATTCTTGGTTATTATATTTAAAAGTTTGATCAAATATATAGATAAAAATATTAATGTTTATGTATTAAATAATTATAGTATAAAATATATTTCATGACAAATCTAATGATATTTATTTGATATTATAAATATTGATATTTTATATATACCGTTGACCAAACTTAAGATACTTACTTGGTACTATGCTAAAATTGTGTTCTTTTATGAATGGAGAGTAACTGAAACTGAGCTTTGTGGAAAGTCAGTTGAAACCAGTCGAAATTAATTGCCATGCAGGGCGTCGAAAAATCTATCTACCCATTGTAGGTTCTTACTAGTTGCAATAGGATTATTTATTTTAAAAAAACAGTTGAAACAGCCATCAGCGCTAGGTGTGAAAAGTCTAGGTACAATTTTTTTAAGAAAAAACAGAAAGTAGTCGAAAACTAGTCAACATTCAGCGCGCTAAAAGCCGAGTTGAAACTAGTCCCTCAGAGTGCGGGTTGCCACTAGTTATAATTGGCATATTGTTTTTAAAAAAGTCGTCGAAACCAGTTCAAAGAAGTATTCACCGCACGGGCGGACGGGTTGCACCACATGAGTTGTTTTGGTTGGTGGTGCAGGGTCTGCGCATTTGCAGTACAAATTTATACATATAATGTCCCTACATCAAATCATTTCGTTAATATGTAATGTGTAGAAAGGGCATGGAATTGAACAAACATCAACAATTAAGTTTCTATATTGATCCAAACAATTGGCTTTATATACTTTTTAGATAACAAAAACATTTCCAGCTTCAACCTCTTCTTTCAAAGAGGCATTTAGTTAAAATTAGCTATTACAAAGATGTGTAGTATAAACTATGAGTACCACTGACATGTGGTGAAGTAAAACCAAACAAAGAAGAGTTTCACATTATTGACTAACTCTATTAAAGGAACTCCATCCATCCATGGAGGAGAAAATTTACATGGCCATTGATTCCAATGCATGTACGTTATGCAAAATCAACTCCTTTTGTTCTTCTTTGAAGAATCATCAACTCCTTTTGTTCTTCTTTGATGTCCTCCTGCATAAGCCTGCGTGCATGTAATTTTGGTTGACATTGATCAAACCTGTGTTGCCAAAGTGCACAAACAATGCAAATGCCAATGTCAATAACTTCAAACCATTATTTGATACCTCCCGTCCAATAAACCAATGAAATTTTTATATATTCCACCTTAGTGTAATGTTAAACCCAATATGGATAGTAGTCCAAAGAAACATAGCATAATGACAATTAAAGAAGAGATGTAGGATGGTTTTGAAATGACTACAAAAAATTCTACTCACATTGGCCATTCCAGTTCCATCTAGCTAAGCTATCCATGCTAGAATAAATACCATTTTTAAATACCACACGAAGATCTTGTTCTTTAGTGGTATTTTATATGCCCAAATTCATTACTCATAATCCAAATACCATTGTTGACAAGGAAATTATACATTGATTTATATAGAGATTCATGCAAACTCATTGCCCCTATCATTTAATTGCACATCTACAATTGTTGTAATCAAGTTTGTCATTCAACAAATTCAAGTTACTCTCTTAGGTCCCTAAATATAAGCATTTGAAGCTTTCAAATTTGTCCCTAAGTATAAGTATTTCTATGAATTGAACATCCTCAACCCCGCTAGTAATTAATTGATCGGAGCGTCCGGTCGCTGTAAGAACAACGTCCGGTCACCTCGTGAGCTCGTTTCTTTGTGATCTTGCGTCCGGCTTGGTTCCTATCTTCGTGCTTGGACTTTTGCTTGATATCTTGGGTCTCCCCTTGTGCTCCTAGGGTCTTTGCTTAAGGTGTTGATCATCGGATCATCACGTCGTCTTTGTCTAAGTCACGTCTTGCATCCTATTGAACTACAAAACAATCACTTGCAAATTCATTACTCCAAATTGGTTGGGTTGGTCATCAAACACCAAAATTCAAAGTGAATGGGCCTAGGGTCCATTTTCCTTACAATACCCCCAGCCCCCAACGGACATTTCACCCAAGAGGTTGGGTAAGATGAAGTCCATGCCTTGAGATGAGAGGCGAGATGAGGCCGCCACCAAAGGGTCGGGTGAGCGGGAGCCTCGCGACCAAAGGGTCAAGCGAGACTAAGCCCATGACAAAGGGTCGTGGCGAGCCGGAGCCCATGACCTTGGGGCCTGAGGCGAGAGGAGCTCTGGGACCTAGGGGGTCGAGCGTAGATGGAGCCCACGACCTTGGGTTGAAGTAGACGGAGCCCGTGACCAAAGGGTCGAGCTCGCACCCCACAAGACAAGAAGAATAATAGTGAAGTGTAGATTACCTTGGTACATGTGAATCGAGGATGCATGTGGTTGTATGAGCACTTGGTAGCATGATTAGCTTAAACATTGTGCCCCCCTTTATAGTACGGCTTTTTCCTATACTCAAATTCAATATATAAAGAATTTAAACCTCCTTTGAGTTTGAAGCCATCTATATTTATAGTTGGGGCTCCTCCGGCTTCTTGTACCATCCTCTGGAATATAAGTTCACCGCTTGTCATCTCTATAAATCTCATTAGTTCTCTAATTATGAGGTCATTATCACAAAACCCCACAAATAAGGCTTGATTGCACTTTTAATCTCCCCTTTTTGGTGATTGATGACAACCCAATGAGAGCTTATAAAAGATATGAAATAAAATAATGAGACTTTTTTGAGCCATTGGTGTAGAGTCCTCCTAAATATGTGAATAGAGAATTAAATTCTCAAATTAGCACAAGAAGCCAGATTCACATTTGAGAGTGAAAGTGATGGGGCTCCCCTACATCCAAGCTCCTATGGGGTGCTGCATGCTGTCGTCGATGTAAGTAAAAGCGTGATGCAAATGACAGCTTATGCACACATGTGTTCTTTATTAACAGCGGCAAAGTCAGATGTGACTATCTGAGCAAGACAAAGTCAAGCACCACATAGCTAGCTCAGGACAAAAGAATATGCAACCTAGCATAATAAGACGACTTCTAATCCACACAACGATACATGTCCATATCCGATAAACAAAGAGTCAAATAGTAGCATTATTTCACAATTTAAAGTTTTGAGCAACTCTCAAACTTTTTCACCTAGTGAAGACTAACACTCATCGAATAGGACATGAAGCGTAGCTATTGAGTTGTTGACCCCTCTAATTTCTCTCCCTTTGACATAAAGCACCAAAAAAAAGAGGAAAAGAAGAAATATCAACACCTACTGGCCATCTCCCCGGATGTTAGTCCAATCAATATCATCACCTCCTACAAATCCGGCACCACCATCACAATCATCGCCTGCCGGAGTCAATACGTGCACTGGCCCTAACGGTGAGTGGTGGTGGTGTAGCGGGTAGAACGAGTGGAATGCCTGCTCCCATCTTTGATGGTATCCCTCTAGG